ACCGCCCCCCTCCCGCCCTCGCCTCGCCCCCTTCTCGCCCGGCGCCGGCGCGGTTCCCGGAGAGGCGAAAAGTGGCGCGCAATGGCGGTCCCTCCCCGCTCCACAGGTCTCAATGATGGGGCTCCCTTCTCCGCTGCGAGAGCGGGTCAGAGGTTGGAGTGTACCAAGTAGCGACGGCGGGGGGAGGCCTGTGGGTGGGGGCGTTCGAAGGTTACATCCTCGGCGAGAGAGGTGACGTGAACCCCGCTAGTCTCCTCACTCCAGTCTTAGAAGCTGGAAAATAACGGGGATCTCCACGTGCCGAAAAATTAGCTCCCAGCGGCGCTCCATTGGAGAACTAGCTCCACCTCCCTGGAGCCCGTGACTCCGCCCCTCCGCCTGGGCCCCTCCTTCCGCCCTCGCTCATTGGTGGGCCTGGAGGAGTCGGGGAAGGGGGCGGGGGCAAGCTAGTCTCGCTCACTCCCTTTCTTGGAAAGCACGCGCCGCCGCAGTAGCGCGGGCTGAGCGGCTGGGAAGGAAGCAGCTGTCTCGGGCGCGAGCTTCTGTGGCGTCCGGGCCCTGCGGGCAGCAGGTTGGTGCTTAGACCCGGCGGCGGCGCGGCGGCGGCGGCTCCTCCCTCCACGTGGGTTCTCTGGCGACATGGAGCTGGAGGAGTCGGGGATCCGAGAGGAATGCGGCGTGTTCGGGTGCATCAGCTCCGGAGAGTGGCCCACGCAGTTAGATGTGCCGCATGTGATCGCTCTGGGACTCGTGGGACTGCAGCACCGGTGAGCTCCCCGGGGAAGGGTGAGGGTGGTGTGGCGCGTGCTTCTTTCTCCACCAGTACAGGCTGCTCTCTGCGGCCCGAGCAGGCGATCCTGTGTGCGCCTGAGGACCGGAATGCCGGACCTCCCTGACCTGAACCGGTACCTGCCTGTGGCATGCACGAGGTTACCGCGTTCGCGGGGGCTACCTTGCCTCCCTGGATTGTAGCCTGTCTCCCCACCCCCACCCCTGAATGATCTTTAGGATCTCTCGCCTCTCTCCGGTGTGTGCCCGTTTTAATTTCTCAGAGCCCGGAGCTGCGCTTGTGATAGGCTAATGTGGGGTGGCTGCTAGCCCAGGACCCGCAGACACCACCGCAAGCTTTTGTTTGCAAGGGCAGAGCTTTTGAGCCAGTTGATTTGAATGTGTCATAGCAATGGGGACTTAGGGATCCTACAGTTTAAACCCGGGGAAACAGGACTTTGTTGGTGTTCAAAAGGACCGTAGGTTTCATATACATTAACTGAAAATAAACCAATTACAGGGACTAGTCCATCTACAAAAGATTCATTTAGATTACGTTTTAGATAAGGAATGAGAAGATCAGTAGTAAGAAGATGCCAAAGAGTAACTGCCTTCTCTAACAAAGGGGGAGTAGAGTAGTTCCTGTGTGACAAGATACACATTGATTTTGGAAAAATTGGTAGATCCCTTTGAGTTTAGTAATTTTGCTTTCTATCTCTCTGACCTGTTAGTTGATATAAACAATTCCGTTGGGTTAAGAAATATAAACCCAGGTTTGACATTATCACTGAAAGTATTCCAAAGTTTTCATAAGGTAATCCCACAGCAACAACTTGTAGAACAGTTAAGGATCTTGGCAATAACACTTATCAGCAATATGAGTGCAACGTGTATAAAAGCATTTCAAATAATCAGCTTTCCCTCAACCAGCTTAAATTAGAAGTACTTTTCCCTCTTCTCAGGGTCCCACATATTTCACTTTGAGTTTCACATCTGGCATTCCTTGTTTACGAAGAGTCACTTAGAATCTGGGATGAATTGAAAAGAATATTTTACCTTGAATGGCACTAATCTTTGCTAATTGTGGTTGACTAAGAAAGATCTTGTTTTAAAATACATTTATGGAGAGGATTAGATATATAATCCAAGGAAAAAGTAAAAATCTATATGGTAGTCCAGAGCCTCATTAGATTATAACATTCTTAGGAGAGTTATTTTAGGTATTCTGTCATGGGAAGAGGTGTGTAAAATCTAGGAATCTATAGAGTTGCTTGACCATTTTAATATGAACTGACCTTGAATTTTTAAAAAATACTTACATTTTAGCGAAAATAAATCAGAAAGTTCATCCCCATTATCTCTTCATTAAATATATATCCCTGAAGAAAAAGGGCTGAATTTTTTTATTACAGCTTGATTCCTAGTTACATGTACTTTCCCACAGGCCCTTTTATGTGAAAGAATGATGAGATAATACAAGATAATGACAATAAAAATGTGATTGATTACGTAAGGTTGTATGTACACATAAAATCAGTAGGGTGCCCTGGGAGAGTTGGTTCTCACCCATAATTCTAGTCAAGTAAAAATTTTATTTTTAAAAAATATTTTTTTATTGACTTTAGAGAGGAAGGAAGAGGGAGAGAATCAATAATGAGAATCGTTGATCCGCTGCCCCCTGCACTAGGCCCCCTACTGGGGATCTAGCCTCAACCTGGACAAGTGTTCTTGACCAGAATGGAACCTGAGACCCTTCAGTCCCCAGGCTGATGCTCTATCCACTGAGCCGAACCAGCTAGGGCCAAGTCAGATTTTAAGTTAGTAAAGTACTCACCCATTAGGGCAGGGGTGGGGAATGTCTGGCCTGAGGGCAGATTAGACCCAAGAAATCATTTGGTGTGGCCCTGCCAAGGCATTAGCGGTGAGTTAATGAAATGTTTGACCAAATATAGCAGGCTAAATTTTTTTGTATGCATTTTATTTTTATTTTTAATTTTTTAAATTTCTTTATTGGTTAAGGTATTACAAATGTGTTCTCATCCCCCTATTAACCCCCAACCTCCCTCACCCCCTCCATACTCATACTCTCATCCCCCTGTTGCCCATGTCCATTGATTTGGCTTATATGCACGCATACAAGGCCTTTGGTTGATCTCTTCCCCTTACTCCCACCATCCCCTACTTTCCCTCTGGGGATTGATAGTCTGATCGCTGTTTCTCTGTCTTTGGGTCTGTCCCTGTTCATCAGTCTATGTTGTTCTCTATATTCCACAAATGAGTGAGATCATGTGGTATTTATCTTTCTCTGACTGGCTTATTTCACTTAGCATAATGCTCTCCAGGTTCATCCATGCTGTTGCAAATGGTAGGCGGTCCTTCCTTTTTACAGCAGCATAGTATTCCATTGTGCAGATGTACCACAGTTTTCTAATCCACTCATTTGCTGATGGGCATTTAGACTGTTTCCAAATCTTAGCTGTTGTAAATTGTGTTGATAT